TCTCTCTCTCTCTCTCTCTCTCTCTCTCACTCCGTGACTTCTGTCCATCTTGGGATGCCTATCTCCTCTGTGGTGACGTAAGGGAACAGTGCAGACCGGTGTAGGTCAAATGACAGTCCGCCTCTTCACCTCTCTACACCAAAGACGCAAAATTGAAAATTTTCTACCAACTGAATAAGCTTAATGTTTAGTGTGTCCCGCCCGCTCAAGTGACCTTATGCTGTTGCAAGCGCCGTAAAACACTGACCCCAAAAAATGTTACAAGTTTCCCCAAGAGAACAGGGGGACTGCCACACCCACTTATGCACTACTTGAACCGTTACACTTTGTCACTTTCCTTTTAGTGACTATACTCCCTGAGTGGCCAAAACTCCTGGCACTTGTCTGGGGAGGGAGCGTTAATTGGTCGTTTCTAAGCACAAGTGGGCTATCCCGACAAATGCTGTTTTGAGAAAATCGAAGATAAACTTTTGGACCTTTGTTCAGTTTCTTTAAAAGACAAGGAGAGTTTTCTCTAAAATCAAACAAATATATACACCAAAGAAACTAAACTTCTCCTATAGGTAGGACAATGCCCACTTTTGGTGTAGGTCAAGACTTCTGAAAACCCCCAAAATCTGGATTAGCCGGCTTGTCATTAAAAACGATCAATTTGAACATTTTCTGCTGCCTGTAAGGTGAAGGTTTTGGTAGTGGGCATAGATGTGTAGTGTGTGATTTCATGATCTGCCCAACTGAAGCTTTCAATGTTCTAGTCTGTCTCTCTGTCTGCATGTCTGTTTGTGCGTCAGTTTGTCTGAGTTCTATCTATCTATCTATCTATCTATCTATCTATCTATCTATCTATCTATCTATCTATACCTCCCCCTCCCCGCACACACACGCACACACACACACATACACACACATACACACACACACACACACGCGCGCATGCACACACACACACACACACATACACACACAACATCTATCTTTAGAGAAAATCATCAACTGTGGGCCGAGTGTACAAAATATACACCCACCAAAGCTTACAGTAGGCGAACCTGATTTTTGAATGTGTCTTTACATCTTCACAAGACTAACGTAGCAGTACTTTTAAGTGGCAACTGACTTAAAAGAAAACGTTATCACTGAGTTTGTATCGGTTTATTTGTTCAATGTAAATGTCAGTTATTTAGTAAGAGTTTTACGGCGCTCGCAACTGCATAAGGTCATAATTATGAGAGGGCGTGTGAATTGAATCCTTCTTTCCATTAAGCAGGAGTAACGAAAGTGATAGTTTTCTTATCTGGTCATTTACCTCCCTTGATCAGTCGGATGACACTTGATACTGACTGAAGTGTGTTTAGGCCTTTCCCAAAGGGGGGATTTAACATGTTCTTATGCACAGAAGAATTGTAAATGGGCTGATTCATCAATGTCATGCTCATACTGTGCCGGAACAACATAGGGGGAACTGCTGCTTTTTCTTTCATCCTTACTATCGTCATTTTTTCTCTACTTCTTTTGTATGTTTGTCACTGTCTTGTGACCCGCTATTTCCGGGGTGCCTTGATAGTCGAAGCAGACTTTGTGCTGTTGAAGCTAGAGAGGTGAGCAGAGAGAGCTTGATTCCCCGTTTGGACTTCTCTGTTGACATCCAAATAACTCGCACTAAACTTGTTTCTGTGGGTGGTTGGCGGGTGGGCTGGTGTGGTTTGCTCCTTCCTTCCTATCAAACATGTATCGTTCTTATCTCTCCTCCTTCTTTTTTGTGTTTGTTACTCTCTTGTAACACCTCTAATCTTCGGCACTTACATGACCTTATTGTGTTGCAAGTGCTGTAAAACTCTTACGAAAGCAAAAAAATAAATTGACCTTATACAGTTGGGAGCGCCGTAAAACCTCTACTAAAACACAAACCCGCACTCAACCTGTCTCTCCCCCCCCCTACAGATCCTCCTGGCCCTTCCTCCCATGTCTCCTCCTGCTCCCCCTGACGTCATCCTTTGACCCGGATGCAGGACTCGTGACGTCATACACCAAGCGAGCCTCGGCTTCGGTGACCGCCTCCTCCCAACCGAACCACGCCAACCTGGCAAATGACGGAGACCCGGCCACTCACTGGATGTCGGCGGGATGTATGCCAGGTTTCTACGTGAGGACCGCCCCCGCTAATGTCCTCAAAGACGCCTGTAGCCAGGGGCTATGTTCTCTGACAGGTGGCGCGGCGCTCGCGTCTGGCAAGTCCGACCTGGTGAAAGTGACAGATGGAGACACAGGCACAGGCGTCCAGTTCTCGGTGTCGGCTGCCGGTAACGGTAACGGTGTCGGTGGCGCCGCCGGATCTGTTCCCTATCTGGATGTGAATCTACCGACACCGCAACGCGTCCAGTACGTCACGATACGGGGGCGATACGCAGCGTCGACATCGCTGAAACTTTTGGATGAGAACAGCGCGATGGTGGAAGAGTTTCATCTAGATGCTGGCGACAACTACAGGACCAAGGATCTGAGAGTTTCCGTGAGCGTGCGCGTGAAGACGGTGAGGTTTGAGGTGAGCGCGGGCTCCATGTTGTGGGAACTGGCCGCCTTAGGGGAGAAAGGTTGCGTTGATCACGTGACCTGGGATCTGGGCGAGCTGTCGGAGGTCCGAGTGGTCAAGTCCCGCCACTGGGCTGGTCACCACGGACTGACCACCGACATGTTTGTGTCGGCTGACGGCCTCACCTGGCAGCACGTGGCCAGTCTTGACCCTAACGCCCTCGGGACGGTGACCACCATCTTGACCAATACTCTAACGGTCAGGTACATCCGGGTACAACACCAGTACACGGACACCGACTACGCCAAAGTCTACATGTGGGAACTGGACGCGTACGACAAGGATGGAGAATTCGGCCCGGCGCCGGACGCCGCGGTGAATCCGACACCGCTCCGAGAGATGCTTGGGGTGAACGGGATCTGGGGCTGGGGAAATAACCGCTACAGCGACCTGCTCCCCGCGGGCCAGGGGCCGCAACTCTATTCCCCTGTGGCCAGCCACGGGCGGAACTACCACAACATGGATTGGGACGTCACTGACCCGGATGTGAGCGCTGACTACAGCAAGATGGCGGCGGGGGGCGGGACCCAGGCTAAGAGTTGGCTGGATTGGGACAAGGAGTATCTCGCATGGGCGCGCAGCAATCTGACGGTTCACGCGTCCTTACAGTTTACAGCCGACATGTTTTCCGAGTCGGTATGGGACAATGTCGGGCGCAGTTCCCGTAGATACGGCGAGGAATTTGCCCGGCATTTCGGGCCGAGTCGTGGCGCTTCAAGCGTGAAAGCTGCGGAAGTCGGCAACGAACCGTGGAGATATCCCGCGGCGTTCTACAAAACGGTCTTGGACAACATGGCGGCAGGTCTGAAGCACGGTGACCCCAACATTCTAGTTCTGCCGGGAGCTTTTCAAGCAGACGACAAGGAGTCGGCGGGGAACTACATCGGGACCAGGGTGACGGAGACGGCTCTTCCCTCCATTGACGTCATCAACTTCCACCACTACAGCTACGTCACGGGAAATGACGGCGTCCGCAGAGCGACATTCCCGGAACACCCGGCGAGTTCTTTTAACTCACTCCGGAATATGCTGCGCTGGAGAGACGCTAACGCCCCGCACAAACCTGTGTGGGTTACCGAGTGGGGATGGGACTCCGCCGGTGTGGGGGAGGCCTGTAACTTCCACGAGTGTGTATCGGAGACGGCCGCTGCCGTGTACGCCAAGAGAGGCTTGTTGCTGCACGCGAGACACGGCGTGGAGAGGTCCACCTGGTTCTTTTACGGAAATCTCAACGATTGCGACGACCACATCTACTGCAGGAGCGGCCTCACAGGGTCTCAGCACGCGGGTTTCGCGAAAAAGAAGACATACGTCGCTCTTCAGAACTTGCTTTCCCTCCTCGGACACTTTCACTTCCTAGAAGCCATCAGGGAAGACGATCATGGCTACGTCTACGCGTTCGGAAGCCCCGATGCCGGTTGGCAAGGATACGTGACGTCACACCTCGTCGCCTGGCAACCCGTGGACGCCGAGCACGCTACTGTTTCGTCGTCCAATGTGACGTTTTACCACCATGCCACGCCCACGGCGGTGTTCTGTGACGTCAGTGGGGTGGTGAGCCGCTGCGATGAGCGTGTTCAGGTGGACTGTTCTACTGCTCGGTGGACCGTTGAGCTGACAGCTGAGCCCATCGTGATAGACATCCGGGTATTTGCTGCTTCTGGTTTGGTGGGATAAAAATAGCATTCTTTTCAGGTTAAGAAATAAACGATAAGTCTTTCAAAACAATCATTTGTTCTTCTCAGTTGTGTGTTTAAACTCATACATTTTGTCACCTTTTTCTGTCAACGTTCAGGTAGTTTTGTTGTCAAACCGTCGCCTGTGGGTGGTTGGCGGGTGCTCTGGTGTGGTTTGCTCCTTCTTTCCTATCAAACATCTATCGTTTTTATCTCCCCTCCTTCTTTTTTGTGTTTGTTACTCTCTTGTAACACCTCTAATCTTCGGCACTTATATGACCTTATTGTGTTTCAAGTGCCGTAAAACTCTTACAAAAACCAAAACTAATATTATTATGTAACATATGAAAAGAACTGATTTTATATGAATTGTTCCACCACAAGAAGAGTGCCCCCTGCCTATAGACACAGCACCTTCTCACACATCGAACAACATTTGCTGTGACAATCTGGCAATAAGTGACTTGTGTTATCAGAGACTCGCAACCATAAGGTCGTGGGTTCGATTCCCGTGAGGGGCCCGACATTGTGTCCTTGGGAAAGGCAGTTCACACGGACTTTCCTCACTTCACCCAGGTGGGAATGGGTACCCGGCTATAGATAGTAGACAGTGAAAGATCTTGTCAGTTTGTTAGTGTTTGAGCGCTTAACCAGCTGGGTCAGGATATAGGCCACGAACAAACACTTTCCACCTTTCCCTATCCTGGGCTAGTCGCTTGATGTCACTTCATGTCTTCCCACTTTTCTGTACATCCATTTCCGTGACTCTTCTCCAGGTCCCATGAGGTCTTCCCCTTGATCTTTTACTTTTACCCTGTGGGATCCAATCTAACACTTTTCTTGTTATGCAGCTGCTTGATTGTTCCTGTGGCTGTCTGATTATGGCGACGTCTTTTCTTTCCAGATAATCGTTCCTTCCTTTCTTCCTTTTCCCCTGCCTCTCTATCCCCATGTCCAGCATCCTGATCATTGCGTGATGTTCTGAGGTCTCCCCGTCTTCCTCATCCCGCAACTTTTCCTCCTTGGACTTCAACTTTGAAGTGAAGATCCTGAAGATTTTATGTCTTGCAACGCTTGACTGTCCAGTGTCTGTGTGTCACAACTCACCACAGTTCTGGAACTTTTGGAGAAATGTTCTTAAAGTTCTTCTTTAGAACTTTGTTAGGACATAGTCCAACTCTGTTCTAAGTAGTCTCTTCACACATGCTCGGCACTTGTGGTTTCATACATGTTTGTTTGCTGTTCCCGGGAGAGAGCGAGCGAGCGAGCGAGCGAGAGAGAGAGAGAGAGAGAGAGAGAGAGAGAGAGAGAGAGACAGAGAGAGAGAGAAACAGAGAGAGAGACAGAGAGAGAGACAGAGAGACACAGAGAGAGAGACACAGAGAGAGAGAAAGAGAGAGAGACAGAGAGACACAGAGAGAGAGAGAGAGACAGAGACAGAGACAGAGAGAGAGAGAGAGAGACAGAGAGAGAGAGACACAGAGAGAGAGAAAGAGAGAGAGACAGAGAGAGAAAGAGAGAGAGACAGAGAGAGAGAGAGAAAGAGAGAGAGAGAAAGAGAGAGAGAGAGATAGAGAGAGAGAGAGATAGATAGATATATAGATAGAGAGAGAGAGAGAGAGAGAGAGATAGAGAGAGAGAAAGCTATTTAAACACTTTCTGCTGCCTTTTAAATTCAGCTACCTTTCTCCCCTTTCCCCACTCCCATTTTATAAAAGAAATAGGATTGTTTGATAGGGTATAAAAATGTATAGTTGTGGTTGTCATGGTATATACTTACACTGAAATTAGTATTGTAAATTCCAATGTAAATAGGAGTCTTTACCATATTATTATTTACCAAGATTTTCCTAAATGTCTGTCCGCCCTTTTAACTTGATGATGATATGACCGTCTGCACCTGCGAGCGCCGTAAAACTCTTACTAAAACATACCAGGGTGACAGATTTGTTGCAGTAAAACCTGTTGGCATTTGCATGACTAAATTGAGCCGATAGTGCCGTAAAACACCAACTCAATCAATCAATTCCCACTTCCACATCCGTAAGCCTGATCTATAAGGAAGGAAGATCATATCTGTGTGTTTGAGTCTCTCAGGATTTTTCTTTTTTAATCAAGAACATTCTGAAACTCTTCTTTGAGAGGTGTCGGTGATGTCTGTTTTTTGTCTGTATTGACATGTAACTGCGTGTGTTGTATTGTACGTGGTGTCTGTTTTTTGTCTGTATTGACATGTAACTGCGTGTGTTGTATTGTACGTGATGTCTGTTTTTTGTCTGTATTGACATGTAACTGAGTGTGTTGTATTGTACGTGATGTCTGTTTTTTGTCTGTATTGACATGTAACTGCGTGTATTGTATTGTATTGTACGTGATGTCTGTTTTTGCCTGTATTGGTATGTAACTAAGTATATTGTATTGTCGCTCACCCGTAATGTGGCCCGGCTGCGCTTACGTCACGGACTACGTCATTCGCCAGGAGAACATGTCAATAAAAAAACAAACTGGCCGGAAACTGTGACGTCTTGTCCTGTGATATGCCAGGAGGTCATTCACACTTTGTACGCACCATGGCCACTCCCGAGAACAGTCAATGGGGAACACAAACAAACAAACAAAATAATAACAATGAAATCCAACGACCAGTGGGTTCTAACATTTGAAAGCAAGAGCTGTTGTTTTCTCCTCATTTTTCTCCCGTACAGAAAGTTGACCTCAACATATTTCTGAAGCTGGCGTTGAAGTGATAGTAAACAAGGATGTTGGCGGAAGAGTTCATGGTCTGGAACAGGAAGACCGCCACGTTTAAGAAAACGACCACGTCATGGTAGCTGTAACCGTAGCCCAGCCCAGGCTCAGCGATGTAGGCGTAGACGATGACCAGCCGGACAGTGTTGGCGACCAGGAAGATGACCGCTAGGACCGACACGGTTTTGATGACGCGTCTGTTCTTGTGGGAAAAACTGGTGTCTGTTGTCCGCGAGTTTGTCGTCTGCTCCGGTGTTGTTTCGTGGTGTATTGTCTCTCGCACATTTCTTGGGTTCCCTTTTCTTTCATGATCTTTTTTCTTAGAGCATTTTGCAGGTGATTTCTCGTTGGTCGGGTGGCTTTCTTTCTCCTGGTGTCTCGTGTCCCGGCTATTTGTCTGACTGCCTTGTGTTCTGGCTGTACCGGTCTTTGCCTCTGAAGGAGATTGGAGAACCATGTGACTGTGTGACGTTTGAGCAGAGCCGTCTGGTCCAGCAGCTTTCTTTCTTGTCTTCTCTCCCTCTCTGAACTTGGAGGATCTCTGGAGTCCATTGATCATGACGTAGGTACAGAGCAGCACGACCACCTGGTACACAGTGGGCATTGTGACGTAGATGAAGACTTTCAGGTACAGCTCTGTCGCGGCTCGGTTCTCAGACAACCAGAGAGTGACCCTGGATGTATTCGTGGAGGGGTCGCGGCGCCAGGAAAGCCCGCTGGTGACCAAGTGAGGAACGTATGCTGCTATGGTGAAGGCGTACATGACCGTCATAGCAAGCACAGATCTCCGGAAAGTAAAGATGTCTCTAAACTTGAGGGGCATGGCCACACAGAGGCAGCGTTCTACGGTGACAAACGCCACGATTCCTTGCGACAAGTCGTAAAACATAGCGCAACCGTAGCTCATGACAAAGTTGAAGGCAACAGGATCGATGATCGACACCACATCCAAGTGTACAAGGACGTTATACAGATAGGCCACGCCGCCATTGAGAACACTGGCAAAGTCCGAGAGGGAGAGAGCCAGAAGACACACAGACACGCAGTCTTGGGCGCCCTGTTTGAGGAAGATGATGGCGTTGATGACATTCGCCCCGAGCCCCAACAGAGCCAAGGGTAAAGTCACAAATGCTGAAACGTAGAACTCAATTTGTTCCACGCTGAGGCTGCCCATAACTCCGACCGTCAAGAACCAGAGAAAGAGCAAAAATGTTGTAGATTGTGAGAGTGTTCAAGAAACGCTCCAAAGAATGGAGACAGAAACAGGTGCCACCCCAGATGCTGCCCCGATATAGTTGTTGCTGTTTGCCTTCAGCACAAAGAGTTTAGTTATACATTTATTGAAAAACCATGTACGTTTTAAAGATGTATTGTAATTGAATTTGTACTTACATCTCTTGCTACATGGTTGAAACGTCTAATTGCCCAGTTCAATTTTCTGCCTTGAACAAGGTAATTTCCTTATGGATGAAGACGTCAAAGGAATTTTTTTTTTTTACAAAACCCATTTTGTGTCAAATTATGCAGCCCCATTAATAATTATAACATTACTATTACTAATGAAGATGATAGATCAAAGTTTGTACAGTGCGAACATAATTGACAAAAAGTACTGGATCTCTCACACACTATAACAAATTATATTATTAAACTATCTCTCACACACTATAACAAATTATATTATTAAACCATCTCTCACACCCTACAACAAATTATATTATTAAACCGGTTTTCTAGAAGAAACGAACAGACATTTTTGTCCTTTTTGAGACAGTACATTTATATTTACACACAATTAGTCGCACCGCACCGGCGAGGAGATCTGTAAGTTATGACATCTGGGAAGAAAATTGAATTATTTTCCTATGTGTGCTCAGCAATTTTGGTCGAAATTTTAAAAAAATTTAAAAAATAAAAATAAAAAAGGAAAAAAATCGACTGCATAGTTTTGGTATGGAATTCGCTCTTCCCTTACTCCACTTTTCAAATTACTTCATGGACGGCGTCTCATTTTGGTGGTTTTTTAAAGGTTTTTTTTTTTTTGGTGTTGATTTTCTTCTTCAACATATTACTTCTTCATTCTGGATAAAGTAAGTAACACTTCATAATTTTAAAAAAATTTTCTCTTTAATTTAAGATAA